CAAGGGCAGGGCGGCGCGCCGACCCCGGGCTGCTCCGTCCCCCACATTCCGGAAAGTCACCGCCGGGTGGGTCCCTCCAAGCCTCACGTGAGTCACCGCGGAGGCGCCAGCTTCCCGGCCACTGGGCAGTGACTCCGGCCCTCCCCCGCCGCACCGGGCGCGCACCCCGCCAAAGCGGGCCCTGCCGAGTCCCGCGGCGCGGCCACGCGCGACTCCCCGGGCCCCAGCCCCCCGTGGACCCCAACTCTCAGCCGGGGGGCCCTCACCGCCGGGGGCAGCCACGTGCTCCGGTGGGGGCCCCGGGGGGCGGGGGGCGGGCAGGAGGCCCACACACTCGGTCCACGACTCGGCGTAACCTCAAGCGCCATGTGACGCGCGCCGCGCCGCGGAGAAAGGGCGCGCGCCTGGTTCAGGGCCCGGCGGGCCGGGCTCAGGCCGCCGGGAGGGCCGGTCACCGCTCCCACGCCCAAGTCCCCCCGCCGGCCGGCCCCCCACACTGTCCCCTCTCACCCGCCTCCAGCACCGGAACCTCAGGGCACGAATGGAATGGGGCATGGTGGGGGGGGTCACACTCCCCCATGCCCCTTTGCCCTCCAACTGGTATGTGGGCAGGTTGGCCGCCACTCCCCTCCCCCACCTGGAGGGGCCCTTCCGCTGACACCCCCTCACGATCCCCCCTTGTGAAGGACAACTCTTCCCACGCCCGGCATCCTCCCCTGAACCCCAAGAATCTCCCTTTTGGACTCCCCCCTGATCCCCCGTTCTCACCTGCATCCTGGGTCCTTCCAAGGGGGCTTCGCTGTTCCCCTCGGCGGGGTGCGGGGGGGAGGATGTGATCTGGGGCATCACCCCCCCGGAAACTGAAGCCGAGTTGGGGGAGGGGGAGGGTCCCCAACCCCTCCCTTCACGGCCGGGCGGGGGTGGTAGGAGCCGCGGGGCCGCGCGGCCACGTCGGCAGAACGCGGATTGGCCGGTGGGGGTCACGTGCCAGCGCCCTCGCCCATTCCGCCTCCGCCCCCCTTCGGCCACAAGGGCCAGTTTTCCTAACGTTCCAGGGGGTCGCTCGAAGGGCCGAGGGGGCCGGGCAGCCCAGTCCTATCCAAGCAGACCCTGGGCGCCCTAACGCCGCTGCTTCTCCGCGTCTCCGGCCGTCGTCGACTCTGTGCCCCCCACGCACCTCTCGGTACGGGTTCAGCATGGCTGCCGCAGCCCGGGACCACGTCGCGCGCAGGCGCAGAGGCGCGCCGCGGGGGCAGCGCCGTCGTGCGCAGGCGCCGGGGCTGGACGCGCGCACGCACGCGCGCGCCCCGGCCGAGCGCGCGCAACGGGTGGGGCGGAAGGGCGTGCCGCGCGCCGACCTCCCGCCCGGACGACCCCCCCCCCCCCCCCCCCCCCCCCCCCCCCCCCCCCCCCCCCCCCGCCCGCGGCGTCGCCTAGCGGCCTTCCTTGGATGCCTTCCTCGGGAGTGAGGTGCAGCTCGGCACGTCCAGGCCGCAGACCAAGGAAAACGCACACCGCGGACCCGTGGCCGGTGAAGAATGGGGCTTGGGCCTGGGCGTGTGAGCGTTTGCAAGGAGGGGCCGGCCCGTCCTCCGGTGCAATGTGGTTCAGCAGCGGCGGGAGAGGGAGTTCCGCACCCCGGAAGGGCTTGCAGCAGAGCGAGGCGATGCAGATGATACCTGAGACCTTTACTCGGTTTCTTTGTCTTTAGGCAGCTTCACCACCTTTCGTTTCCCTGGAACCTACCGCAGCCACGAGGCTTCATTGAGACGTCTCAGTCCCCGGCCCTCCTCTCCGCCCCAGAAAGCTACCAGCTTCCCCAGCACTTTCTCTTGCCTGCTCAGCGCGTGATCGGTCATTCAGTTAAAACTAATTTTCTCCTGAGGCTTTGCCTTCTACCACAATTAAAATGCCGTAAAATTTTAGGAAGTGGCCATATAAAATGACATGCTAAGCCATTAGCCACCCAAGGCAGCGGTTCTCAACCTGTGGGTCTTGACCCCTTTGGGGGGGGGTGTCAAACGATTCATAACAGTAGCAAAATGACAGCTGTGAAGTAGCAAGGAAAATAATTTGATGGTTGGGGGGGTCACCACAGCATGAGGAACTGTGGCATTAGGACAGTTGAGAACCACTGACCTAAAATAATCCTTTTATTTCTACTGGACTGGCAGAGAATGATCCCAATTTTCACTCTCGTCCCTGACTCCCAAGGGGTCACCTCTCCAAACTAAAAGGCCAACTTGGAGGCTCGCTGGCTCCCTACCTCTAACCTATAAATTGGGCTTTGCCTATTTATTCCCTCTTATATTTCACTAGATCCACCCTCTTTCCAGACCTAGTTAAAAACAAACAAACAAACCTGTGTTAACTCAGACTGTCCTTCACTCTCTGCCCTTTCGTAACTTCCCTTCTAGTGGTTTCCCAACAGAAAAGCAACGTTCTGCATATAGACTATATCTGTAGCCCTGGTACTGTCATGTCACCTCCCCTCCCGGCAGCTCTTTCTGGTTTCTGCCACCGCTCTCACCACTCTCACCATTGAAACCGGCTAGGCAAATGCCTCCACGGGCCTTATTGACAGGATGCACTTTTCACATCTCACCTTATTTGACCTCTCGGAAGCATTTGACATTTGATGGTGCTCTTCTTTGTGTAATTCTCAATGTCCTTGATGTCTGTTATCAGTCTTACCTGTTTTCCTTTAGTGTTCTCACCTACCTTCTTTCCTTCCAGGAGCCCTGGTGGGTTGGACGGCTAACTGCAAGGTTAGTGGTTCGGATCCACCAGCTGCTCCTCAGGAGAACGATGGGGCTTTCTGCCCTTGTTCTGCCTCAGAAAGCCACTGAGGGAGTTCTCGCCTGCCCTGTGGGGTCTCCCTTTGTCAGCATCAACTCAATGGTAGTGAATTTTCCTTCCTTACACACACACACCACCACCACCACCACCCCTGCATTTTATTGCTTCAATCTGCTACTCCATTTCATCCGACTCCCCAGGTGCTTTTACTCAGCTGCTCAGTCTTTAGTCCATACAGCCTCCCCGAGTGAAATGCGCTGCTAAGTATTCCTGATCAGAAACCGATGGCTTCTGTTTTGTTTTCTTTTGTGCACGCGGGATCTGTTTTTCCTGTAGTACCCTGACTCATCACCCATCCCAAAGCCTGGAATCTAGGAGTTTGTGTTTTCATTTGGCGGTTTCCTCCCACAGCTTTCTGTGGACCTGACTTGATTTTAACGCTTACATATCCATCGAATCACACTGTTCCAGTCTTATCGCCTGAGATTTGTCAATAGCTTTCAGAAGTCGGCAGCGCAATCCCACCATCAGCTCCACAGGTAGTCTGCCTCCATCAAGATTTGTAGCCGTAACAAACCGTGTACAGCCTTGGAAACCCTAGCAGTTCTACTCTGCCCTATAAGGTTGCCATGACACAGAATCTCCCTCAACAGCAGTGTATTTAAGGTTTTGAGTAGGGCTTCTCTGTCCCGGATGGTAGCCATTAGTCGCACGTTGCTATTTAAGTGTATATTGATAATAACTCAAATGCCTAATTCCATTTCTCAGTTACCCTACTCACAGGGGGACACTGGCAGTCACAGAACATCTCCATTAGGGAAGAAAGTTCTTTCGGGCAGTACGCCTCTAGACGTTGCTGCCTCAGCCACATTGTTACAACTTCCCAAAACACAACTTTGGCCTTATGCTACTGTTTGACGACGGTATTAATGAGTTACGTTGAAGTTCAAATGCCTCTGCTTGTCTGAAAAGTGGGCTTGCCTCTCCCGTCTTGTGTTTAGCCACTTCTTGCTAGGCTCTCGTAGTCTAACCACGTGGAGCTATGCTTCACCACCCACTCCCCTGGGGTCACTTCTGACTCAGAGCACAGCAACCCTAGGAGACAGAGTAGAACTGCTCCTTTGGGTTTCTGAGGCTGTGCACCTTCATGGGAGCGGACAGCCTCAGCTTTCTCTCACTGAGAGGCTGTTGGGGTTTGAACTGCCGGTCTTATGGTTAGCAGCCCAGTGTTTAACCCACCGAGCCACCAGGGGCCTTCAAGCTATTTTCCAGATATTGCATTTAAAAAATGTGTTGTACATACATGGTTTGCCCTCCTTAGGACAGGTCCCCCCACCCCCCCAATCCTTCTAAACTCAAATACCAATGCCCCTGAAGAGCCCCTTGCTTCCCATATCGCACAGGCTGCTCTTTCCAATGACACCGTTCACGGTGAATGGCGTGCATGTGATTACATGTTTCTCTTCCCGACTAGGGCTGGTCTGGAAAGCGGAACCATGTTCTGTTTTCATTTTAACGTCTCTAGCTCACGACACGGCACCTGGCCAATGCCAGGTGCTCACAAAAATATTTGGTGCTTGACTGAATATGAGGGGCCTTCAAACAGTTCACGAAAAGATGGAATTGAACGATTTTTTCCGTGGATTTTTTTGGTTTGCTCCTTGCCCCCATGTATGACTTTCTATGGTTGTGTAGCCACATGGGGCACGGTACGTCGTAAAGGGAAGTAATCTGCGTCAGACCAAATCACAGCTCTCGGGTATACGTCCGACCATTCCCACCATTGGAATGGTGGGAAGAAAGGCGGCAGCAGACCGGCACAGGCCGTTTCCACGGGAGAGCAGTGCAGTCCAGTCTAGCCAGCGGGTAAGCTGCGCGAGGAGAGGAGAGGCGGGGCGGGCTGCGGAGACTGGAAGATGCATTCAGTTGTGGAGGCCAGCTCAGTATTTCCAGTGCGACAAGCCTGGACCCAGGGGGAGCCACAGAGAGTTTCCGAGCGCTGAAGGACTTGATCCGGGCTGCGTTATTAGATAGGAACTCCAAGCTTCGTGTCCCCATGGACCTGCTAATAAACATCAAATGAAGGCACCAGGGTTTGGCAGGAGACAAATTTGGTGGTTGGTAACATAAAAAAAATATATATGAAGTGCATTCGGTACTATTGTTTTACATGTGTGAACTCTTCATTCTTAGAACAACTCTACAAGTTAGATACTCAAATCACTCCAGTTACTCAAATGAAGCAACTGAAACAAGAGACTTCAAAGCATTTACTTTGTAAGTCACGCTTGTGGGTTTTTTTGGTAAGTGACGGAGCTGGGATGTGATATGAACCTTGGCAGTCTACCTCTGGGTGATATGTTATCCCGGTTGCTAGGGTAGCGAATAGTTGAGGGAAGGAGATTAGGAGAGGAGGCTTGGGAGTCATCTTGTGAGGTCACATTTGATCCAGCCATGAAGGCTGGTGAGATGAATAAAAGAGGAAGCGTAAAATAGAATTTAGGGTCGAGGACCGAACTTCAGGTTAAATCCTCCTACAGGAAAAAACAATTGGAAGAACATCAAGAGAAGTAGAGCAACTCAATGGGAAGAAGTCAAAACAGAATTCCATGGTTTTCAAACGAGTGAAATCGGCTCTTCAGCCTTGCGGCGTGCATGCCGTGGACGGTTGTTGGCAGTTCAGTGAAGCAGAGCCTGGGCGTGGTGGACTTCCCAGCCAGCAGCGCCGAGGAAGCCGAGTGGTTTGGGGAGAAGGCTGCTTGTAGAGTGGGGTATCTCTGGACACCGAACGGGGGAGCTGGGCTTGCTGACCCATGGGGGTGGTGCTGAGTGTTTCAGATTGTGGTGGACTTGAGTGGAGTGCCTCTGGCCACTTCATTCAGGGAGACTGGGTTGAATAAACCTTCCAGTTGAGGTTAATAAATGCCCTTGGGACATTTATTAGCAACCTTAAAATAACTTTGTAACATATCCTGACCAAACAACTGTACCTGGAGCATTTTGCAACTGAATTGTATGTAACCTGTTAGCCTCCTTAATACATCTTTTAATCGTGAATATTGTTTGTGAGTTCCATGTGGCCAGTGCAGTGAATTCCAGAACTCATAGTGGAATAAGTAGAAAGTGTTGTATATGACAGAACACAGGGCTAATCATTTCCATTATTTTAAAGTAGAGATATGTTGAGCTGTCTATGGTAACTATGTGATTAGAAACCATTCATTGCTGATGGTTTCTACTGATAACATTATCACAAAATACTGCTAATACTACAAAGATTTATTCTTTCCATTCTTGACTGAAGGGAAAGTTAAATTTCAGTTAGAGGCTATTTACAATAAAGATTGCTTTACTATTATTCCATTTGTGATAGTTAGATTTTATGTCAATGCGGGTGGGGCAGGATTCTCCCGTGATAGTACCTAACACAGCGTGGCCAACTCCGTGATGGGAGGTTTGTGAAGCATCCAAGCGGTTCAGGTCACAAGCTGAACAGGAGTGAGGTCTCGTTCCAGGTGTGACCTGTGCTTCGTTCAGACTGACAGTGTGCAGACACGGTGCATTTTGCTGGGGTCCGGCCCTGCACCTCGCTTCCCAACACCAAAGGACTTCACAGGACCTTTTACAGCTCATTTTTATAGATTTGTATATTTATTTGTTTAATGACTCTTTAGTTTCATTAGGCCACACAAGGGGGCTTCAAAAAGTTCATTGGGGAAAAAAAACAAGGAGCTGAAAGATAATGGAGTTTTCCACAAACTTTTTGAGCTCCTCTCAAAAGTCTTGTGATTAGAGACTGCTAGGCACAAAGAGTGGTCAATACATATTTGCTAAATAAATGAACTTATTTGAGTTGGAGTTTGCATATTTGTGTATTGGGGATGATACATCTCAACCCTGTTGAGTGGGTGTGAAGGTTACTGCGTCGTCATAATGTGGTCAGAGGCAAGGATGAATGTGCATATGAAGAGAGAAAACGGGGAATGAGGGCAAATGTGGGAGCTTGGTGGCTGCATCTGCTCCACAGTAGGAGGCACCAGGAAGGGACAGTTGCCACGGTGTTTGGGAAGTACCTCGAGTAGAGTGGGAAAAGTAGGTAGGAAAGGGACCCATTGGGATCCAACCAAAGAATCAGTTACCCTTGAGTTAATTCTTACTCATGGTAACTCTGAATAGAGTTTCAGAATAGAATACTAGTCCATATAGTTTTCAGTGGCTGATTTTTTGAAGTGAAGTGCTGAGCCTTTCTTTGAAGGTTCCTAAGTTAGACTTGAACTTCCAACCTTCTGTTTAGCAGTTGGGCACATCAACCATTTGCACCACCCAGGGACTCCGCTGGGCAGGCGGTGGGGGTGAAAAATCTTTACAGAGATACCTTCAGCAGCCCATGCATTCAGGCAGAGTCACTGTGAGTCGTGATGGATTCCGGGGATATAAGAAGTACGTTAGGTACTCGTTTCCCCCGAGACCAGAACACACGGGTGGTGCCAGATTGTCATTACTTAACTTTTTAAAAGTCAAGGACCCAATAGTTGGAGCTTGATAAAAAGGGGGGAACTATAGAATGGAGCTTCAAGTTCTTATTGGAACCAGGCCGGAGGGTTCCGATGTGTTGTTTAGAAGCAACTTTTAGTCCTTGAACCAAAACTACCTAATGAAGTCAGCTTTAAACTAAACAACGATTTAGCTCATTTAATAGGTAGGTTCTCCTCGAGCATTTCACTCTGAAAGAATTTCCCAGATGAGATGAGGTGCCCAGCAGTCGCTCTAAAATACATAGATTTTTACGGGCCAGACGATCTCACAGTGGCGAAACTAGGCGGGCGGCGATGGGGAGAATGGTGACACAAGGCGAAATGTGTAGCCGTTGTCAATGACCTGCACATAAAAATGGCGCAAGGGTTATGCTTTAGTGCGTGTGTTTTTGCCAGAAAGAAGAGAATTGGACACAATCTCCGCTAACCTTGAAGTATGAATGAAGTAACAGAAAAACAGACATCTCAACAATAGACGAACACAATAAACTGATAGTCATTACTGTCTGAGAAAGGTGAGATTGCTTGTCAAAGGATAAATAGAAATATGTAAGTAAATGTAAGTAAGGACTCGGCCATTAACAACGATGTTGAAGGAAAAAGTTTACAGAGTACCGCACAGAGATTAGATGCAAACGTGTATGATTAAATACAGATAATAAAACATCACCTTGGCAGCATTGTAGAAGAGAAGTTCGGAGATAAATCAATCAAGAGAATTGCAGTCACGCAGGAAGAAATGAACAAACATTGAAGGACTAGGCTAGTGGAAATGGAAAGAAAAGGAGAATGGTTTGAAAGATAGAATTGATAGGACTCGGTAAATCATTACATATTAAGGTTTGAGGAATATAGAGCTGTCAAAATTTACTCATAGTTGCAGCTCAGGTGAGTGAGTAGACAGGTTAGTTACTGGTATTGAATATAGGAGTTGGAACATGCTGGGGAGGGTACACGATGCGTTTAGTTTTTAAACCTTTTAAATCTTTAAATGGAGGTGAATTCTAGATAGGAGTTCCTAAATGTATTTGCCTATAGACTGTTTCATTATAATTAATTATTGAACCATTAACAGCAATTTATAAGATATAAGGTATAGAACACCTCTTGTTTTAAAAAATGAAGGCTTAGTTTAAAAACTATAGCACACCGCTTCTCATTTAAAACTCCCTTCTCAGGCAATTTTTGAGATGAAGAGAAATGAAAACAGATCTGGTTCAATGAAATGAAGCCATTGTTTTTCCTTGTGTTGTCTGTGACCATGGCGCTATGATTATGTTACAGGAAAAGTACTGCACTGCGCTCTTTGCAAGAACTCATAATGTGGATCAATTGACAGCAGTAACCCTAAAGCAGCATTGAGAAACGTGGGGCTGGTTGTTAAGCCCCATCAAGTTAGAAGATTTTCTGCACGACAGGACAAAGCACGACCCAGTCGGATGCTGTCTTCACAATCACTGCTGTCTTGGAGCCCAATGGTAAAACCACTGCTTCCATCCCTCTGGCTAAAGTCTTCTCTTTCATTGACCACCTCCCAAGCCTGCTGTCCTTCTCCAGGGACTCCCGATAACATCTGCAAGGTGTGGGCAATGGAATCTCGCCATCCTCACTTGTCAGGAACATTCTGGTCCTTCTTCAAAGACAGGGCAGTTCAGGGTACAGTTCATATTATTCACCAGTACTATACTTCAGAGGCATCAGTTCTGCAGTCTCCCCTCTGCGTTGTCCCGCTTTCGCAAGCGTCGGAGCTGATGGAGAACACCATGGCTTCAGTCAGGTGCACCCGAGTCCTGTCCAAAGGCTGCTTTTTCATGCTTTGATATGTCTTTGCTCCATGAAGTATGTCCTTTGATTTCTTGCCCACCACTTCTGTGGGCATGATGTGCATCCAAGAACTATGAACTGCTTGGCCACTTCAGTCTTTTCTGTTCATCATGCTAATTACTGGTTCAGTGGACCTGTGATCTGATTTTCATTAGTAAATGCTTCAAGTCCTCCGTTTTAGTGAGCCATGTCATCTACACATCACAGGTTGTTAATGAGTCTTCCTCCAGTCTTTTTAAAACATCGTTTTATTGTGGCTCTGACAGCTCTTATAACATTCCATACATCAATTGAATCAAGCATATTTGTACATATGTCGCCATTACCATTTTCTACACATTTACTTCCTATTTGAGCCCTTGGTATCAGCTCCTCTTTTTCCCCTCCCTCCCTCTCTTCCTCCAATCTTGATGCCTAGTTTGTTTTTTATATATATGTATACTGTCATCCACTTTATCATCTGTTCATCCTACAGATTGAATAAATATGGTGAAAGGATAATACCCTGACACAGCTTACCTGATTTAAAACTATACCACAAAACCCTTTGTTCTGTTCAAATGACTGCCTCTTGGTCTATATACACCTTCCACATTCGTACAATGAAGTGTTTTAGAATTCCATTTAAAGAAATATTCTCCATAATATTTTATGATCCATACACTCGAATGCCTTTACATAGACAATGAGAGGCAAGTAAACATCTTTCTGGTTGTGTTAGTCCAGGTAAACTAGAGAAACAAATCCAGGAAGACTCGTGTGTGTATAAGAAATTGCTTTATATCAAAGACTAACTGTATAGAAAGAAGACATCCCAGCCCAGTCCAGATCAAGTCCATAAGTCCAATATTAGCTCATATGTCCAATACCAGTCTATAAGTTCCTCTTCAGACTCATGCAACACATGCAATGATGCTGAATGCAGTAAGATCACAGGCCAGTGGGTAGAAGGTCTTGTGGATCCAGTGGCAGTGGAAACATCTCAGCACTGACACGGGTCTCTATGAGGCTCCTGGCATTTGGCTCCATCAGCATAGTTCCATGTGACTTGTCAGCAGGAAGAGGAAGCAGAGAGTGTGTGTCAAGCCTCCAGGGAGGAAGACAGGAGTTCCCAGAATGCTCAGGAGAAGACCATGCCTACCCAGAGGCCTCATTGGCTATGGCCTGATTGACAGGGTAGACTCCACCCCTTTATTCAAATTGGCAGGAGATTATGTAACTGCCACACTGGCATTTTCTGCTTTTCACCAAGACCCATCTGATGTCAGTAATGCTCTCTCTCCCTCCACAGCCTGTGCTGATTCTGCCCTGAGTTTTTGGCCGTCACTTGTTGATGTACTACTGCAATTGTTTCCTAATTAACTTCAGTAAACTTTTATGTGTGTGATATTAACGATATGTTTGATAATCTCCGCATTCTGTTGTATTACCTTTATTTGGAATAGGCAAAAATATGAATCTGTTCCAGTCAGCCAAGTAATTATCCTCCAAATTTCTTGGCACAGACGAGTGAGCACCTCTAGTGTTATATTCATTTACTGGAAAATTTCAACTGGTATTTCGTTAATGCCTGGAGCCTTGTTTTGTATCAATACTTCAGTGCAGCTTGGACTCCTTTCTTCAAAACCATTAGTTCTTGATCATATGTTACCTCATGAAATGGTTGAACAATTCTTTTTGGTACAGTGACTCTATGTACTCTTTCCATCTTCTTTTGATGTTTCCTGCATTGTTTAATATTTTATCCACAGAATCCTTCAATATTACAGCTCAAGGCTTGAATCTTTCTTCAATTCTTTCAGCCTGAGAAATGCCACGTACGTGGTATCCGTTTTGCTTTTAACTCTACGCGTTTGCACGTTTTGTTATCAGGCTTTGCTTTCTTCAGGCGCTCCTTGAAGTGTTCTGTTCAGTTCTCTGACGTCATCATTCCTTCCGTTCGCTTTCACTACTCTGCTTTCAAAAGCAACTTCCAGAGCCTCTCCTGACGTCCATTTTGGCTTTTTCTTTCTTCCCACGTTTCTTTCTTGCTGGCTTTCCAATGACTTTTGCTTTGCTCTTGTATGATGTCTTTGAGGCCATCCCACAACTCTTCTGGTCAAGGGTCATTAGTGTTCAAGGTGTCAAATAGAATCTTGAGATGGCTTCAAAATTCACGTGGGATTTATCCAAGGTTGTGCTTTGGCTTACTTGGCTGTTTAATTTTCTTTAGCTTCAATTTGAGTTTTCAGATGAGCAATTAATGATCTGTTCCTCATGGACCCCTGGTCTTGTTCTGACTAATGATATTGAGCTTCCTCTGTCTTCTTTTTCTACAGACTTAGTTAATTGGGTTCCTGTGTACTCCATCTGGTGAAGTCCATGTGTATAAACTCAAACAAAGTCATACTCCCGGCCATGAAGTGGGTTCTGGCTCTTAGTGACCCCATCGGCCAGGGTAGAACCACCCCTGTGGGTTTCCTTGACTGTAAATCTTTACAAGAACAGAGAGCTTCAACTCTCTAACACAGAGTGGCTGGTGAGTTCCAATTGCTGGCTTCCTGGCTAGAAACCCAGCAAGTAAACCTCCACCAGAGATGCTCATGCGTCCCATCAGGCAACTGCCATTGAGTCCATGCTAACTCACGGTGACCCTACAGGGCAGGGTAGACATGCCTCTGTGAGTTTCCAAGACTGTAAATCTTTATGGGAGTAGGAAACCTCATGTTTCTCCCAAGGAGTGACTGGTGGTTTCAAACTCCTGACCTTGCTGTTAGCAGCCCAACCCATAACTACTATGCCACCACAGCTCTCCTCCTATATAGTCAGTCAGCGGTTACTATTATTATTTTTAATCATTTTATTGGGGGCTTGTACAGCTCATCACAATTCATCCATCCATCCATTGTGTCAAGCACATTTGTATGAATGTTACCATCATCATTTAAAAAAAAATTGTTTTATTAGGGGCTCATACAACTCTTACCACAATCCATACATACATCAATTGTGTAAAGCACATTTGTACATTCATTGCCCTCATCATTCTCAAAACATTTCCTCTCCACTTAAGCCCCTGGCATCAGTGCCTCATTTTTCTTCCTCGCTTCCTGCTCTCCCCTCCCTCATGAACCCTTGATGATTTATAAAAATTTTTTTAGGACTTACACTGACTGATGTCGCCCTTCACCACTTTTCTATTGTCTGACCCCTGGGAAGGGGTTAAATGTAGATCATTATGATTGGTTTTCCCTTTCTCCCCCCACCTTCCCCCTTACCCTCCTGGTATCCTGAGGGGTTTATCTGTCCTGGATCCCATGTGTTTCCGGCTCTTATCTGTACCAGTGTACATGCTCTGCTCTAGCCAGATTTGTAAGGTAGAACTGGGGCCATGATAGTGGCGGGGAGGAAGCATTAAAGAAGTAGAGGTGTGTTGTATGTTCTGTCAGTGCTATACTGTACCCTGACCGGCTCATCTCTTCCTTGTGACCCTTTTGTGAGGGGAGGTCCAATTGTCTACAGATGGGCTTTGGGTCTCCACTCTGCCCTCCCGCTCATTCACATTGATATGATTTTTTGTTCTGGGTCTTTGATAGCTGATACCTGATCCCATTGACACCTCATGATCACACAGGCTGGTGTGCTTCTTCCCTGTGGGCTTTGTTGCTTCTCAGCTAGATGGCGGCTTGTTTATCTTCAAGCCTTTAAGACCCCAGGTGCTATATCTTTTGATAGCTGGGCACCATCTGCTTTCTTCATCACTTTGCATATGCACCTATTTTGTGTTCAGCGATCATGTCAGGAAGCTGAGCCTCACAGAATGCCGGATTTTTAGAACAAAGTGTTCTTGCATTGAGGGAGTACTTGAATAGAGGCCCAATGTCTGTCTTAATACTTAACATATAAATATATGTACATAGATCCATTTCCCTATCGTTATATATAACTATATTTACATATGTACACGCCTGTATTTAGACCTCTATAAATACCCTTTGTCTCCTAATTCTTTCCTCTATTTCCTTTTACTAGCCTCTTGTCCCACTATCATGTTCGACCTTCATTCGGGTTTCACTAATTCCTCTCAGCTTGATCAAGGCCCACCAGGCATCCTATACCCTCCTCGCCTTCGATTTTAGATCTCTTGTTCCCTTGTCCCTGGGTTGGTAGTCAGTGATTATTTGCTGGAAAGGATGTTTCCAATGAATAAGTCTTGGGTCTTGCAAAATTCTATTATGCATTCTCTGATGTCATTTCTTTCCCTGAGGCCAGATTTTGCAACAACCACTCCTTCTTCGTTTCTCACTTTCACATTCCAATCGCTGTAATTATCAATACGTCTTTTCTTTTCAATCATTTTATTAGGGGCTCATCCAACTCTTATCACAATCCACGCATACATCAATTGCATAAAGCACATTTGTACATTCATTGCCCTCATCATTCTCAAAACATTTCCTCTCCACTTAAGCCCCCCGGCATTAGGTCCTCAGTTTTCCTCCTCCCTCCCCGCTGCCCCCTCCCATCAATACGTCTTGATTGCAGGTCTGGACAATTTCAAACCTTGGAAGTTGGATCAAATCTTTATATTTTCATCTTTGACGTTGGTGATTGGTGTGTACATTTAAATAGTATTTGTACAAATGATCTTCCCTGCGGACATTTGACTATTATC